CTCTGGATACACCTCCTACATCAGTTTCATTATGTGATTCCGTTTGAAAGTTTAGCACATATATAGCTAGTTCAGTGGAAAGAGCTATCTTTTTGCACTAATTAAATGTATCATAATGTCGTTGATGACGTCATAACGCCATTATTAACTTCCTTTTATCCCCGAATCTTTCGATCTCATAAAAATAAATCAATGTATGTTTTATGTAAAGCAATTATCAGAGAGATTTAGTGAATTACGATGGACTGACTTAATTTTGAACACATATTTTGGGACACCCTGTAATAAAAAAGGCATGCTTTTGGTTAAATAGTTTTCGTTCTTTTCTCAAATTGTTTTCCCTAACATATATGCATTGGACGAATCAATTACCGCTTAAACTTAAAAACATGAAAATCTTTGTTTAAAAACACAAGCGTAACATTCAAAGGAATCTCGCAATTACGACACATTCTCGCTGTGGGTTTTCTTCCCCATTTGAAAGCCGTATCTGCTGGGTAACCGAACTTCTCGGTAGTAAAGCGGACTTAAACTGAACTTCTTGATATTAAATCGGAAGAAAAACCACACTTCTTGGTAGTGAAGCTAACTTAAAACCGAACTTCTTAGGTAGTGAAGCGGGCATAAAACTGAACTACTCGGTAGTGAAGGGGCATAAAACTGAACTACTCGGTAGTGAAGGGGCATAAAACTGAACTACTCGGTAGTGAAGGGGCATACAACTGAACTACTCGGTAGTGAAGCGGGCATAAAACTGAACTACTCGGCGGGCATAAAACTGAACAAATCGGTAGTGTAGGGGCATTAAACTGAACTACTCGGTAGTTTAGGGGCATAAAACTGAACTACTCGGTAGTGAAGCGGGCATCAAACTGAACTACTCGGTAGTGAAGGGGCATAAAACTGAACTACTCGGTAGTGTAGGGGCATAAAACTGAACTACTCGGTAGTGAAGCGGGCATAAAACCGAATATTCGGTAGTGAAGCGGACGTAAAACCGATCTTCTCGGTAGTGAAGCGGACGTTAAACCGAACTATTTAGTAGTGAAACGGACTCTATACCGAACAACGCGGTAGTTAAGCGGACAGAAAGACGAACTACTCGGTAGTGAAGCGGACGTAAAACCAAACTACTCGGTAGTGAAGCGGACGTAAAACCAACCAATCACCGAACACCCTCCCAGATTGGATCCACATCTGTGCAAGAAACTACAATTAAATACAAATAGTTTTGCAAAATGCCAAAAGGCGATAGTGGAGCCCCCCGTACAGCTGAGCGTTATTGTGATTTTTGTTTGAATGTTCTATCCGCCAAATACAAATCATACAAAACATTAAATAGGCATTGGGAGCAAATGTTTAATTCAAACCACAGAACCGACATCAATATGAGTCTCACGACTTTTTAACAGCATGAGAAAAAGAATATCTCATCCTAAAATTTGAAAAATCCGGCAAAACTAGATAATCTGAATCCTTTGTTTTACAAGATAAAAGCGATAAATCGTTTACTATTACCGTAATTGAATTGAACAATGTTGTAAATAGTTATATATGGATATTAGTTTCGATAATTATCTGAGTGTTTTTTCAGTATACACCGTGACATATTCAAGTAATATTTAGTTAACTGCTTTTTATTTGACCGAATATCAATGATAATAAGAGAATTGATGACTTAACTGGATCATGCAACTTCTTATCCGAGTATCACTCTTACGCTGTAACTAGAATTAATACTGTTCAGCTAATGCCACACCGTGCTTTTATTATCTGCTAACAGACATAATGAAGATATTAAGACTTTGTCTTTTTCCATAGATGATGCGAAATATCTTCCTCAAATGTTTCAATACCTACAAACTCAAATCAGAGCCGGGTTTGAGCGAGTCGTTCGTGCTCAACCACATGAAGTACAGTCCCCGCCTTTTTGAAGTCCGCTACACTCAAAGATACGAGACAGTTGCCTATTTCGACGATTGTGACATGTTTGTGGTGGTCGAGGGGGATGCTGCTTTGTCCTGCAACTTCCATACAGGTACTATATAGAAACAAAGGCATGTATTATAAAATTAAACAATGTCTTATTCAGGGTATCCAGGTCTGTACAGACATCTACGAGACTGGCAAAACCTTGTTTACACAACCATTAGTATGCCATTTATCAAATGAACGGCCCAAACATCAAACTTATTGCATTCATTTTGCAAGGAACAATTTCTGTATCATGACAAAAAAATATAGTATTAAAGAATCCACCTTAAGGAAATTTGTTTTCACCCTCCTCGGGATCAAGAAAATATTCTATTTGACCAACCATGAAGGGTAGTATCTACCTTTTATGTCACATTGATCATAGACATTTCAAAGTATTGTAAAACGAACTAAAGGGAACGAATCCCTTTAACTTGCAATTTGAAATAGCACGAGGACTTAAAAGCTTTGGATATTCTCTTCCTTTTGTGCAAGCATCACTTCTCGATAAATCCAGTTTTTGGTAAGATATATTGACAAATGTTTTCACATCCTTTATGATGCAAACCTCATCTCATACATTATAAGGCAACCTGCGCAACTTAATGCACCAAAAGAGTTTACTCTTTGTTTGATTTTTGTCCTATTATTAAATGCAAGAAAAGTCGTCATAATGTTATCGGGTTTTTTCCAAAGAATTAAAACGTAAACAGTCTTACATTTTTAGCACATCGAGCCAATCACCAAAGGCCAAATGAGCTTTTACCGTGGTGCAACGTCCTTCGTCAACTATTTGGCTGGTAGCTTCATTGGATGGAGCCCAATAAAGAATGTAAAATATGACAATGACACACTTTCAAAGTTACAGGTCCAATATTTTGAGGTCACATGCATCAAATATTGTAAGAAAGTAAAACAACTCCTGAAGAATACATACACTTGATAAAAGTGTAAAGTATTCGACAGGCTTTGAAAGTGAGATATTCAGGCACCTGGGCCTCTTGTTTTAATTATATTGAACATTCCATAATCCTGCATTCTGTATTATTAAGGGAAAGAAAATATTTGAGTAGTTTAGATACCATTTCCCCCCTTAATATAAAGGTTCATGCTATGGTTATATATGCCAAGATATTTATTAATCAGGCGAAATATCAACTGTCGTGTGTTTTACAGAGATATTCTGGAATTTACAATACCGTTTATTTATATATTTTACATGGACTTAACATTGAAACAATGCATCATACAGGACAGAACACAAATTTTGAAATATATCAATGATACACTGTTTAACCATACACTACACAATAACAATAGATGTTTTACCCGTGTAATATATTAAGAGCATGCTGTGATACAGATAGACCTTGTACAAAGTTCAATAACATATTGACTTGTTAGGTTATCATGCATTTTCCGTTTATTACCTTGGGTATTAACATTCACAGTTATCTGTTTCAGGTATGGACATTAATCAGGGAATAAGAGGCCTTCATTCTCTACATCAGTTTATAACGATGGTAACATGGGCGGAATCCGAACAGAGTATATCTTCAGCCTTAGCATTTAAGATGCAACACTCAAGTAAATTGTTTAGTAAATTGTCACGTGATGGCATGCATGAGTTCATGTTTTCGTGACTCACCATTTTAAGAACGCCTATTTTTGTGATGATATTAATGTTACAGAGAACACCTACAGCGCCGATGTTTTTAGGATTTGCATATTGTGGTTCTATTTAATAAAAGATTTTAAAAACTTCGATAAAAATCGAACACAATGATTGCGAGCGTATTTCTTTAGCGTTCAATCGATGAAATAACTTTATTTTAAAAACGTCTTCACTCTGAAGATGTATTGTGGGTTCAAATAGGTTGAAATACATCACGATGGTTGAAGTTCACAACAACCTACGTTGCGTACGTCAGTAATATACAAACAAATAAACAAAAGGTATTTTATCTTTTATAAACTGTACAACAGTAGGTAATTCTAACTTAATAAACTGTACAACAGTAGGTATTGCTTACATTATATACTGTACAACAGTAGATATTTCTTACAAAATAAACTGTACACAAGTAGATATTTTATCTTGTATAAACTATACAACGGTAGATATTTCTTACATTATAAACTCTACAACAGTAGATATTTTTTACATTATAAACTGCACACAAGAAGGTATTTTATCTNTTTATAAACTGTTCAACAGTAGGTATTTCTTACTTTTAAACTGTACAACAGTAGGTATTTCTAACTTTATAAACTGTACAACAGTAGATATTTCATTCTTTATCAACTGTAAAATAGTAGGTATTCTATTTTTATCAACTGTACAACAGTAGGTATTTCTTACTTTATAAACTGTACAACAGTAGGTATTTCTTACTTAATAAACTGTACAACAGTAGGTATTTCTTACTTTATAAACTATACAACAGTAGGTATATCTTACTTTATAAACTGTTCAACAGTAGATATTTCATTCTTTATCAACTGTACAATAGTAGGTGTCTT